CTCAATTAGTCCCCTCCTTCTTACGGATTCCACGGATTCACACAAATTGACTTGTTTGCTTCACTTTTGTTGCACCAAACTGTCATTATTAACGTTTCCAAATAAACAAACAAACAAAACAGGAATTGATTAAAAACGCATTTACTTAACGAATCTCATTCATTATTAATGAATGAATAAATCACGGTATAAAACCGAGAAGATTATCGGTCTCATATTTATTACTACTCGAGATTTTACTAAAATCTCATATAATATAGGTAAGAATTAATTTCACAAAAAAAATTAAATTGATAAAAGCAATTGCTTCTACTAGAATCTAGTTCAAAGTTGAAAAATTGAAATTAGAACGTTGAAAAAAGCAGTGTTTTTTCACATTTCATTATTTTCTCGAAAACTTAATAGGTAGAATGAATCCACAAAAATGCATATCGAATATTCATACGTTCCTGTGGTTTCATCCAATTGGCTGTGATTCGCGTTAAAAAAAAAATGAAGTAATGAAAAATTAACGGTGGAAACGCCATATAATTAGGAACTCAATTAGTCCCCTCCTTCTTACGGATTCCACGGATTCACACAAATTGACTTGTTTGCTTCACTTTTGTTGCACCAAACTGTCATTATTAACGTTTCCAAATAAACAAACAAACAAAACAGGAATTGATTAAAAACGCATTTACTTAACGAATCTCATTCATTATTAATGAATGAATAAATCACGGTATAAAACCGAGAAGATTATCGGTCTCATATTTATTACTACTCGAGATTTTGCTAAAATCTCATATAATAAAGGTAAGACTTAATTTCACAAGACAAATTAAATTGATAAAAGTAATTGCTTCTACTAGAATCTAGTTCAAAGTTGAAAAATTGAAATTAGAAAGTTCGAAAAAGCAATGTATTCACATTTCATTGATTTACTCGAAAACTATAATAGACAGAATGAATCCAATATATGCATATGAAAGCTGAATATTTGGGGAATCCAGCAAGTATCGATATATAACTGTGGTTTTAGCCGTTTGGGTGTAATTCGTGTTGTAACGTGGTAAAATCGACAACGCTGCAAGTGCGCTCCACG